TTTTTTTTTTTTTTTTTTGATAGGAATTGATACTAATATATATAGAAAACATGAAAGTCGCATTGCCTGACAGTTACCCAAGGAATATCATCTGCACATCCTCATAATTAACGGGAACTACTACACTACCGTTGACGGAACCATCCTCATAATTAACGGGAACTACTACACTACCGTTGACGGAACCATTCCACCGTAGATTATCCACACAAGATAATTTATATGTGTATCCAATGATAAAAAACACTGACGTTATCCGTAACGGTACCTTAGAATTTTTCTTAATTAACATAGACGATGCATTTTATTATTATCATTATTACAACAAAAGTAGTGAAGTAACCAAAAACATAAAAATCCCGCATACAGACTGGAGACACCTCACTCTATCATCAGATCACACATATCACATCTTCACGCCAGACCCAATCTATATCGAGAGACCTTCACCTTATTCAATATCTATTCTCGGCCTGCGGCGGACGCTGCGGACCTCCATTCGTTGGGCCGAGCAGGGTGGCTTCCTCCCGGCTGTTCTTGAGTCTCCCGGCGTCCTTCCTGGAGACGCTGTACACGTTCATGAGTACCTCCTCCGGCATGGCTCGGATGGCCGACAGCCGGCCTGCGAGCTGCCCGATCATGGCTTCATGGTTAGTGCGGAAGGCAATCCACTCGAACCCACTCTCTCCTGCCTTCTTCACAGTCGCAAAGTTCTGTGGGACCACCAGCAGCTGCCCCTCTTGGATCTCCTCGTCGTACACCGTTTTCCCCTGGTTGCCCACCACCTGGATCCTTGCGCTCCCCCTGATCACATACGTTATCGTGTGCGAGTTTATGCTCCAGTGTGGGGCCATCATCGCATTCTATGTTCCAACAACAAAGACAACCTCAATGTATGCATAATTTCAAACTTGAGAGCAAACAAGTATAAATACCCTACCCTGTAGAGGATTCCTCGGTCAGCGCTGAGCCGGAGGTGGTTCAGGATGGGGAGCTTATGCCCGTTGAGCCTGGTTACCCGACCCGCACGCGGGTTGTACACGTCGGCCTTGCTCGGGTGCTCAATGTTCTCCCTAATTTTTAAAGAGCAAAGGGTTTCCTCCAGCCCATTCGCGTACCCACCCTCGCGCTCCTGCTCCTGGCTGCCCCACTCCGGAAGGACTAGCCCGAGATTCTCGGCTCGGATGATGGCCCCTCTGTTGTCCTCCTTCCCCTGCAGCCGCCTTATGATGTCTGGATCAATGTTGAGCACCTCCGCCAGGAACTCCTGCTCGAACCCGGCAAATATGTTGCTCTGCTGTTGCTCCTCTCCTTCTTGTTCGCCCCGCTTGCTTTGTTGATCCCTGTAGGGCTCCTCTTCTTGATGCGGCCCTTGGTTTCGGGTCGCCTGCGGGTTCCCGGCCAGGAGAAATTTCTGCCCCAAATAATATGTTATCTTGTGAACGGGTAAGTTCTGAATTAAATGTATTGTGATAGAATTAGGGCCTTGATTTGTATTAAAATTCAGGAAAAGCGTCAGAATATTTAATCCTCAGATTCGTCTAAAGAATGTGTTTCTGTTCATAGTAAGGTGTTCGCTAAAAAGGCCAGTTTGCAAATGGAGGCCAAGTGATGCTAAAATTCAAAATTTTCCCTGACCCTGAATTCCAAGTCCAGCTGGTTGGCTTCACTGGCGACGTCGCGAATAGATACACTGATGATGGGTGTGTCGCCATCATTGTAAGCCCAGTTAGTGACTCCCGGCTGCAGTGCGAGGATGTCCCCTTGCCGGAATCGCCTTAGCTTTTGGTGGCGGTCGTTAGCCCTCCTTCCTTGCCCTTGCTCTCCTTGTCTTTTCTCTCTTTCTGATTCTGAAGCAGAGTAGCTGCTCGAACCGGACTCGTAAGTCTCTGCGCACCCGGGAATTACGGTCTCCTGAATTCCACTCCCTATAACATAATCAAATCAACAAGAATTTGGAACTTTAGGGCAAAAGATTGATGAAGTACATGATATGATACTGTAAAGAGAAACTGATATAGTAAAATGACATAAAGAAAGTTGACCTTTGATGATATAGACAAGCTGAGGGGCATTAGTGTAGTAAGGCAGCAGGAGGCCCTTTGGCTGAATGGTGTGGCGGACAAACTGAATACCGGCGCACGCAAACTCCTTGCCACTGGCGTCCCAGAACTCGGTCGAGCCAGCCTCGTATTCATGCTTATGGGTTGGCTCGCGGGCCTGGAGCTGTTGTATGCCGCAAGGGGTCTTGGCTCGGAGCCGGTGCTGCTGCTGGTTGCGGAGGCTCTGGAGGAGCTGCTCCTGATGGGTCTCCAACTGGGCCATTGAGCCCATGAGCGGGGAGAGAGAGAGGATCAGGAGAGACAAGGCCAGAGCTCTATTAGCCATGGCAAAATATTATTAATGTACAATTGAAGACTGAAGTGGAGAAAGGAAAGTGAGGGGGTTATATACAAGTGGAGAGTGGTGCATGGGGTTTGACACGTATGGATGAGTTTGGTAAGAGATGTAACACTTGGCTTGCGTGTTTCTTGCATGCGTTTTTGTTTGATGTTATGAGTAATCGTGGTTTTTTCGGCTATGTGGGCGATGAGATGCTGAGCGCATGCAATACAATTGTCCGCCTTCCTATCTGCATGTGCTCGTAGTGGATTGTTTGTGGCGTTATTTTGTTGGGAATTGTTGATTTTGGGATTCAACCTTTTGGTCGGGTCGAGTCGAATCGAGTCGAGTCGGTTAGCTTGGCCAATTTAGAATTTCGAATGACTAAAGACAGTGATAATGATATGACTAAAGTTTCAACATTCCAGCCTTCAGCAGTTGAATTTTGTCTCTAAGATTTATTAACTTATGTACTACTAGTGGTATATACAATTGAATTTATATAAGATATAAATATGAAACGCTTGTAGCGCAAATTTTATGAAAAATATTAATTTTTTTAAAGTTCAATTTTGTTTTGATCAAACAATTTTGCGGGTACAATCTCTATATGGAACCCTTTGATTTTTTTTTTCTTGAACTTGGATTTGGATCCTCAAAATGAATTGGACTTTAATAATATTGACTCGAGGGTTTTAAAGTTTTTTCCTCGAATCAAACGCTAATTGGTTGAACTCCAGGACGTAACCAGAAAAAAAATAATACCCTACGCTAATTGGTTATAAAAATGAGTTAAATTATGCAGTTAAATTTATAAAGCAAAATAGAAAACAAGTTTCGAATAAAAAATGCATATAAGATGCTTCATATTCATTACAACTATTTTAAAATGTAAAAAAAAAAATGTTGCCTATTTAAGATGCGCCCTCCGATTCTTCATACTGTAAAGCCCGTCAATTATTGATTCAGTGTTGATCTTCGAAGTAAAGTCTCTTTCGATGTAGATAATCATAGAATCCGCTAAGATGTCTTCTTCCATTTTATTTCGAAGGGGAGTTCTGAGAAGTTTCATAGCTGAAAATGATTGTTCGGATGTTCCAGTAGAAACTGGAAGCGTAAAAATGAGGCAAATCACTTTGTCAATTAAATAATAATGTCTTGCATTTTCCGTCTCTACTAACTACCGACATAAATCATAAATGGTAGAAATATGTTGGATTCTCTCATGTTGGACAACGTCAAACTTATAATGCTCTAATTGATCCCTCAAATAATGCCGCCCTTGCCTACTAGAATCATTATAATAGAATTTCTTGGCAAGAATATAAATATCATCACTATTGATCAACTTAAAGTTATCTCGAGGCTCCAATGCAGAGATAAGCCGAAGAAGTTCTACAGCCTCATTATTAAATATGCTATGAAACTCTTCTAGTTGAAAATCTATCGTCGGATTGAATAGATTATAGTGATAATAATGATGCTCAACTGTTATGGCAAACTTCTGTTGGCAAGATGCCCTCTACAAGATCGATGAAAAAGAACCATATCCAGTATCTAAATACCATTTTCTTCACAAAATAATTGCACATACGTAAGAAGAGTATCAAAGCCTTCTTATCTAAGAGTACAAAACAAAGATTTTGTAGTTGACACAAAATCCATTGCATTTAATATATCCAAAGACTTCTCTGGCAAAGACATGACTAAACAAATTTGTGATCGTCATAATCTTGATCTTGTGTATCAAAAATAAGATAAATACGAAGTCAAATGATACCTTGGCAATTAAAGCTTGTAGCTTCCCCACGTACAAAATTAGATGGGCTTGATTACTAGTTGGTAGCAAATTGTGGCATATGATTAAATTGGGAAATGTTACGGTTCGGTTATAGAACCCTTCTGTCGGGGTTTGTAACTGTTAGATCATTATGTAACCGTCGGATAGTTGATATAACGGTTACAAATCCCGACTAAATGGTTCCGTATCGGGACCGTATCATCTCCCGATTAAATTTATCATAATTAGATGGTGTAAGGTAGTTAGAGTGAACAAATAAGCGCGCCAAATTCGGATCCTAATTCTCTTATGCTGCCAACACCATCCTAATTTCATGTTCTCTTCTCTCTCTCTTCAACTTCTCCTCTCTCTCTCTCTCTCGTGCCTCTGATGATCTCCAAACTGCGCAAACACAAATTCACGTCATTTCCCCCCACAAAAAGTATGTGCTCAGGTTCTCGCTGTTGATTCACCGCGAATTTCATGTGGATCCGTACTGATTTCTCCTCTCCGATTGTCTCAGAATTCATCAGCCAATCCAAGAGCCCGGGAAAAGGAAAATCGTTTCGTTTTTTTGGGGCGGAAGGGGAAAATTTACAGATCGAGTTCAGCGTCGTGTTTTGAATTTCGTTAATGATTGGGCACGAAGGATTAGCGCACTGGCATCATCTATGAAGACTATGCGGACGAGAAGTAGGTCTCTTGGGTGGATACCTGAGATTTGTTTCAGATGGAATGGCAGATCTTGCTAGCTATGGCAACCCTGATCGCGACATTGACTTGGTTAAACCCCTGTTTTTTCATTTCTCTTCAACTCTATTCAATTTCGAAAAAAATTGATTGGATTAGTCATTATTGCCTCATTGGTGTGTATGATTGTTGTGTGTGTGTGTGTGTGTGTGGATCGAAGAGGTGTTCGTATATCGTATTATTGTGTATCGTTGATGATGTTCTCGGCATTGTGTGTTTCTCGTGGAATTTCACTTAAGTATTGGAGAAAAAGTGATTGTATGTTTTTGGCTAAAGGAATTAACTGTTATGGTGTTCGGCTTGGAGGTTCCTTTTTTGTGCCTCTAGTGTGAGTTATTTATGTTGAGGTGATTGTTTGGTTGCTAGTATAAAAGTTTTTCTATTTGAGAAATCTCAAGGTTTTTTATATCGTCGATTGATGTTCTCATCATTGTGTGTTTCTCGTGGAATTTCACTGAAGTAATGGAGAATAAGTGATTGTATGCTTTTGGCTAAAGGAACTAATTCTTGTGGTGTTCGAAAAATCACGGCTTGGAGGTTCCTTTTTTGTTCCTCTAGTGCGAGTTGTTTATGTTGAGGCGGTTGTTTGGCTGCTAGTATAAAAGTTTTCTGTTTGAGATATCTCAAGGTTTTTTGCCTGCTTGTAGTTTTGTTTATTCTTTCTTCGTCTTCTACTTGTAGAGTGATTCAGATATGTGAAAGGGCATCAACATTTGGGTTAAGAATAACAGGATTGTGACTAGCCTGAAACATTCTATTCTTTTACACCAATCATTGGGTGTAATCTGATCAATATAATGTCAATGTCATCGGACCATGACAAACGGTTTAGCTAATTAAATTGTTTCGATCTTGGTTTTTCAAGATTATCAGTAGAAACTTGATTCAGCGTTTCTGGTGTATCTCGTGACATTTTCCAGTTAAACATTAATTGTTGTGACCTTTTGTGCTCATGTCATTTTTTTTTTATTTTTTTTTTCTCTGAAGGCACTGATAGCTTTGAAGAAAGGAACACAATTAATCAAGTACAGCAGGAAAGGGAAGCCTAAATTTTGTACATTCAGACTTTCTCCTGTAAGAAAATTAGCTTTTACTTTTTTTATTTTTATTTTTTTGATTATTTTTTACCATTAACATATAGAGAATGTTCATTTGTTCTTGAATTTCACATTCATGCATCATCAGATGATCAACTTAAATTTTGAAATTAAGTGTGAGTTAACCTGAAAAACATCGTGTCTCATTTATTCAGGACGAAACAACACTGATTTGGTACTCTCATGGAGCAGAAAGGCATCTAACGTTATCTTCTGTTACACGGATTATTCCCGGACAGAGAACCGTGAGTTAGCAAAATTATTTCTTTTGAATATTTTTATGTTATAGTCCTTGTAACTTGCAAAACTCAGTGCCATAACCTGAATCTAATCAAATATCAGCTACAACATATAATTATCTGAAGATTTGCTGTGTTTTCCTATTTCAGCCAGTTTTTAGAAGATTTTTGCGCCCCGAGAAGGATTACCTGTCATTTTCTCTGATCTATAATAACGGAGATCGATCTCTCGATTTGGTCAGTTTCTTTTTTTCTTTTTTACTTTTTTTGGTTTTCTTTTTTTTTACTTGATATTTAGAATTGACATGATTTTTTAGTAACAAGTTTTAGCTTGTGAATTACTTCATTTTCGACTTTTAAATTCTAATAGATCTGCAAGGACAAAGTTGAATCTGAGGTGTGGCTTGCTGGCCTGAAGGCTTTAACATCGACCGGCCAAGTACGTAATAGACGTACCAGAAGTGAAATTTATGATGTAAGTTTCCTTCCATCTTACTCTTATCATATACTCTTACATACGGATTCTTTGTCATGCTATCATGTTCTTGGTCCCGGATAAGCATTTATGTGCAAACTCTGTCTTCTTCATGCAAATAAAGACCCCTTACCAGGTCACGATGTATTGTATCACATCCTTATCATTCTCAAAATGTTTTATTAAGTTTAAGTTTCAAGATTTCTTTTCTTCAAGTATCTTTAAACTCCTGAAATCTGGTAACTAGTTGATTTTCTTTAGACTCTTCTGGTAGAATTTCTAAGAAACACAACGGTTTTATCAAGATTTTTCGCAATTTTTTTGTCGTAGTCATTATGTGGAAGCATGCAGGATACAGGACGTGCTCTATCAATTTTATTCTTGTGCTCTATCTTATTCATTGTGTGAAAGCATGAAGAATATTGGACAATTTTAAATTTAAATCTGTCTTGGGCTGCTAAAGTCTCAATTACACTGGACAAGAGTTCATCCAAATCTTAAGTACTTAATCCGTTGATGTGTTCCATCAGTTACACGGCACTGGCGACACCACCCCGCCAGAACACCGGCCGTTCACAGCAACACTAGAGTTCACGTCCAGCATCCCGCGTGGCAGGTTCAGCACTGACTCCAACTGCTTTGCCGGTTCAAGCTCACATGCAGTCTCGGGGCCCACGTCCCCAAACATGCAGCTGAGAACAAGTGGTGCCGATGGCTTCCGCATCAGTGTCTCGAGCACGCCCAGCTGCTCGAGCCAGGGCTCTGGCCCCGATGACATAGAGTCCCTTGGTGACGTCTACCTCTGGGGTGAGATCTGGTCCGATGGTGTCCCCACCAAGATCGACGTTCTCAGCCCCCGCTCCCTCGAGACCAACATTGTCCTCGATGTCCACCAGATAGCGTGCGGTGTCCGCCACATTGCCCTCGTCACTCGCCAAGGGGAGGTGTTTACTTGGGGGGAGGAGTCGGGCGGGCGTCTGGGCCACGGAGTCGAGCGCGATTTCTCCCGCCCCCGCCTGGTCGACTCCCTGGCCGTCATCAATGTCGAGTCCGTCTCTTGCGGGGAGTTCCACACCTGCGCACTCTCCTCGTCCGGTGACCTCTACACGTGGGGCGATGGGACCCACAATGTTGGCCTCCTTGGCCATGGCAACGACGTCAGCCACTGGATCCCCAAGCGCGTCTCTGGAACCCTCGAGGGTCTCCAGGTCCTTTCAGTGGCGTGCGGCACCTGGCACTCGGCCCTCGCCACCTCGTCCGGAAAGCTCTTCACATTCGGTGACGGGATGTTCGGTGCCCTTGGCCACGGGGACCGTGAGAGTGTTACTTACCCCAAGGAGGTCCAGTCTCTGAGCGGCCTCAAGACGGTGGCTGTCTCATGCGGTGTCTGGCACACGGCTGCCATCATCGAGGTGTCCAGCACGGCAGGCCCCAGCGTGGCCTCCAGGAAGCTGTTCACGTGGGGGGATGGGGACAAGTACCGGCTGGGTCATGGGAGCAAGGAGACATACCTACTCCCGACGTGCGTGTCGGGCCTCATCGACTACAACATCCAGCAGATTTCATGCGGAGCCAGCATGACAGTCGTGCTCACCAACTCGGGCCACGTCTTCACGATGGGTAGCAATGCCCACGGCCAGCTTGGGAACCCGCAGGCAGAGGGGAAGTCGCCCGTCCTGGTTCAGGACCGGCTCGTGGGGGAGTTTGTCGAGCAGATATCGTGTGGGTCCCACCATGTGGCCGTCCTGACACTACGGAGTGAGGTTTTCACATGGGGCCGAGGGGCCAATGGGCGGCTGGGCCACGGGGATGCAGAGGACCGGGGTTCCCCCACACTGGTCGAGGCCCTCAAGGACCGGCACGTGCGCAACATTGCATGTGGATCCAACTACACAGCCTGCATTTGCATCCACAAGTGGGTGTCGGGGGCCGACCAGTCGGTGTGCACCGCATGCAGGCAGGCGTTCGGGTTCACGAGGAAGAGGCACAACTGCTACAACTGTGGGCTTGTCCACTGTCATGCGTGCAGCTCAAAGAAGGCGATGAAGGCTGCCCTTGCCCCAACGCCGGGTAAGCCGCACAGGGTGTGCGATGCTTGCTACCTGAAGCTTAAGAAGGCGGCCGAGGTTGGGAGCCAGGTGGCCATAAACAGGAGGCAGTCGGTCCACCGTGGCTCGGTGGATTTCAGCAACCGACACGACCGGCCCGAAGTGAGGGGCTCGCGGGTGCTGCTGTCTCCTACGGTTGAACCAGTGAAGTATCTGGAGATCAAGTCGGGGGTGGCAGGGGGCAGGTCAGATGACTACTCCATTGTCCGAGCCTCGCAAGTGCCATCCTTGTTGCAGCTGAAGGACATCGCTTTCCCGAGTTCACTTAGCGCACTCCAGTACGCTCTGAAGCCCGTGATCACATCAGGTCCACAACAGTTGCAGCAGCCCACGACACAGTATCAGTCAAGCTCAAGGCCCGCATCACCCTACTCGAGGAAACCTAGCCCACCACGCTCGGCGGCCCCGGTTTTCTCGAGGGGCGTTGTGGATACTCTGAAGAAGACGAATGATGTCTTGACGCAAGAGATCTCTAAACTCCACAACCAAGTAAGATTTCCAGAGTTTTAACAGTTGGCTTTTGTATTTTGATTTCATTTCAGGATTGCCAAAACCTGAGCATCTTTTGGGTTGTTTGTTATTTAGATCAAGAATTTGAAACAAAAGAGTGAAGCTCAAGATGTGGAAATTCACAAGTTGAAAGAAACTGCTGACGCAGCAAACGAGTTGGCTGCCGATAGATCTTCCGTGTGCGTTAGAGCCATGCGAGCTGTCAAGACCATCGCGGATCAAGTATTTTAACTGTGGCCATTTTTTTATTTTTTATTTTTTTTATTTTATATGATGGACCATCCTATGTGGGATTTCTCACTTTCAAAATTTTTAAACACCAAGAAATAGTAACCTTAAACTGGATGTTAGCAAAGAAAATGCCGCAGTATCTCCAGCTTTTTGTTAAATTGTGTTCAGTTACCTTTCAAAACTAAAAGTTAACCCTCAACAGTATTGATTCTCTTTTGCAACTATATCTGCTTGAATATCTTGATTAACAAAACTTGCCTTCTCCTTCTGTCTGCTTTTACCAGTTGAAAGAAATTACTGACAAAATACCCCCCGAGATATCAGAAAGTGAATCTTTCAAGAACATTCAAGCTCAAGTCGAGTCACTTCTCGACAACATCGGGTCCCAAGCACTTGATGATAATCCCGCTTTGCCTCCAGAACCATCACCTGACCAACAGCATAATCATTCGTCAGCGTGTGAAGCAAATCACAAAGAAGATCACAGAACAGAAGATAGTAATGCCAATGGGACTCAACAGGAAACAGGTGAGGCATCCGTCTCTCATGCGCAAGGTACAAGTCAGTCGAGCACGGAGAATGGGTCAGGGACCCCTCGGGCTACGCCAGTCGAGGGACAAAGGGAAGTTATTGAGCAATTTGAGCCAGGTGTTTATGTGACGGTCATTCAACTTGCCAATGGCACCAAGCTCTTCAAGCGGGTTAGATTCAGGTATATAAGTGTAATGTATCACACCCTAAACTCACAATTATTTCATTACTGCAAGTATTTTAAAGTTATTATTTCTTGCACGTACAGCAAGCGAAGGTTTGATGAGCATCAGGCAGAAGAATGGTGGAAAGAAAATAAGGACAGGCTACTGAGAAGGTACAGTCTAGGTAGACCAACTAAGACATCGTCGGCAGAATCAGCCGCAAATGAAGATAGCCAATCCACATAGGAAAACAGAGATAACAATGGGACAAAAAGATTTTCATAGGAAGAATGTACATTTGATTCATTAGTCTGGATAGATAGAGAAAGCTTATCGGGGTATTTATAGTTCTTTAGATTTTCTTATAGAACGACTTCTTTACGAGTGAAGAAAGGGAAGTGAAAATAATGATATTGTAATCCTCATGTTTGTGGTTAATATAAAAGGTTACTTCAAATGGACTAAAACTGCTATGCAAATGCACGTAGACAAATTACTACAATGAACTTCATAAAATATACGAGTATAAAATATAAAATACAATTTAGCATGTATTAGTTGAAAGTGAAATTACATTATTTGTTCGACCTGTTAAGTAAAAGAAAAAAAAAAAAAAGTAATGATAAAGTATCTAAAATTGCCTCTCCATCTCCTCAAACCATTGCTCCAGCCATGGAGTTACCGGCGCCACCATCCATCGTTTGTCGCAAGCCCATGCCCGAGTTGTTCTGGTTTGGGTGTGTCTGAGAGTCAAACCTTCTCGGTCTCCTCTCTTCCGTCTCAGGTCTGATTTAAGTCGATGTATGAAAATGCAAATAGATTAAAATGTTGTCTATTGATATGCTAATTTGAAAAGTATTCTAAATATTTATCCTTCTTCTGCGAAAATTTTACTGTCCAAAATCCCGAAATCTAGGTTTTAGAATCCCTCCTTCAATCCACCTCCTATCTGCAGTCAAGCCCTCTGCTCCTCCTCGAAGTTCACCAGCACTAGGACATCCTCCTCCCTCCCGTATAGTCGCGGTCTCCTCTATCTGTTGGAGCTCCTCCCTCGGCGGGCTTCAACAGGTTTGTCGTTGACTAGATGCTGCAGATGAGGCTGCGGGTAACGCTCGCCAGCCTTTTGGCCGAACGAGCTTGGGGCGACACTGTATATTTCCCCACTTTTTTGTTTGTTCTCTAGGTTGGGGATGGATGGGTACTTCTGGCCGGCGGCTTGTTTTCTTCTTCGCAGCAAATGGGTCGGCTCCATCGGTGTCGTGTGGGGAGAGGTGTTGGTGTTCGGCCTCCTGGTGTTGTTGTTTGGTGGTGTTGCCAATGAAAGGGAGCTTCAGTTCTCTAGGTCCGGTTCTAGTTTAGCGTTTCAGGAGTTGGGAGTTTCTAGTCATGTTCTACTTGGGGCCGAAGTTTTGTTGTGTTTCTTGGTGGTCGCCTCCAGGTATTAGCTTCGTATGTGGTTTTGGAGTAGCTTGCAGGCAACGAGGAGAGCTTTAGTTTATTTTATTTGTAGTATAGTGTTTATGTTTTAGGTTTGTGTTGAGGAGAGCTTTAGTTTATTTTATTTGTAGTATAGTGTTTATGTTTTAGGTTTGTGTTGTGTCTTTCTGCTTTATAGCTTTGTGCATTCTTTTTGGAGTATTTTGTCCCCATTTGAGGAGTGGTTTAGTCTTCCAATTGGAGAGTGTAGTGTCTACTTTGGTGTATAGTATGTGGCTCTAGGTGGATCCCTTTGTTTGAGCTTTCTCTCACCTTTGTGTTTAGTGTAAAAATGCAAAGATGCTTTGTAATGCCAGTGCCATTTGACTGTACTTTTTGGAAGTTAATGATATTATATATATGGAAAATAAACCCAACTGATAAGGCCGGTGGGCTACTCCTCCTTCCACTAATTGGTTTTAAGATAGAATCTCACTTGGGTTTCATCTGGACTCACCCTGTCATGGTGCGTTTCACGTGCGTGGGACTGCACTCGTTTTCTCCCGTATCCTTACATGGTATCAGAGCCGACTTACGTGGGTCCTGACGATGACACACCCTGTTTGCCGACCTATTTGGGCATGGTAATCACGGCCTAGTTGGGCTTAGGTTTCTATGAAGAACTCATAAGTGAAGGGGCGTATTAGAGTATAATACTACTTGTGAGTTGTCCCACGTCGTTTATACAGGGAAAGTAGGCCAACTTATAAATCTAGTGGACTACTCATCCATTCAATAATTAGTTTTAGAATGAAGTCTCACTTGGGATTCATCTGAACTCACCCTGCTATGGTGCGCTTCACGTGCGAAGCCACAGCCGTTTTCCCCCGTTTCTTACACTATCGTTTGCCCAAAGAAAAAAGACATTCAAACTTTAAAAGATTGATTTAGTCTGCAAATTTTTAGAAAAAAAAAAAAAAGAAAAAAAAGTCATTTCGTTATGCAACTAAGCCTATTTTCTAATAAAAAATCTTTTATGTTTTTTGTACATGCCATTTTAAACTCAACTTTAAAATATTGTAAATGAGTGAGTTTGATACTTTTTTGGTTGGTTTCTCCACCACATCTAAAATTTATGTTTATTATTATGCTAACTAAGTAAAATAATAACAATCTAAGATGATTCAAGAAATTTGGAAATAATTCGAATGGCAAAAAAACATAATCATGGGACAATAACTAATTTTTATGTAAGTCAGACTTATAAATTAGTTGAGTCATTCTATCAAATTTTGTAAACAATAATATATGCTAATACAACTAAATCCAATACTTAATATGTTATTTTTAAAGGATTTCTTTAAATATAAGTACATATATTTATATATCTGCATATAAATATGTCAATCAAATAGTTAGTGCTGAACTAATATTTATTGGATAATTTGATTTCTCACCTTATAGGGTCCAAAGTGCACTAAAAACCATGACATAGACTCAATCATGTAATAAATGCAGTTTGGTGAACGTTGCAACAAGAAAAAAGATGTGTTAGCATTAATGTCACAAAAATAAATAAATATAAAGTAAACTAACAATGTTTAAGTTTCAAAATAGAGTTGGAAAAGAATAATTTATTGAGGAAAAATAGCCCTGATTATATTTTATTAGTTTTGCTATAAAGCCAACATTAACCTTCTATATACAACAAGTAAATCATACCATATTCTTTGATTACTTAAATAAATACTAATAATTTTATTAATATGGTATGATTGAGTTGTTGTATGCAATATGTTAGTTCCACTATGAAGTCAATTGTCGACTTCATAGCAAAACTGTTTATTTTAATTCATCTTCAATTATTCAAGAAAAATAAATCTCGATTACTTATTCAAACTGTTGGTATTTATGAGGATTGTGATATTTGTGCAAGTTACAAATTAATCTACGAATAAACTTATGCACAACGTATCTAAATATTGATGTAGAAAACTTACATTTTAAAATTCGTATATCTGAAAACATTGTAGATTTGTGTTGATGAAGATCGATTGATTCTGATGATCAAAAGATTCTTTTGTTTTGGTCATGTGTCTTGTAAGTATATGTGTAATATGTTAGTATATGTGTTTTTTATGAAACACTATCAACATATTATAAGTTTGAATTGTATGAATATTATGTAACGCTTCACAACACACAAATAATGAACTCTTACATGAATTTTAACATTGATGTCTGATTTGTATATTTTTTTGCAATGTGTACAAACGTTTTTTGTTCATTCAATAAAGTTGAGCACTAAATAATTTTGCATGAGTACTAAAAAAAAGTCGAATTTGGTACTCTTCTTTTGATAACAATATTTAGTACCAAAAAAGATTTGGAGTAATAAGTAATTCTTTTTTTGGTACTAAATAATATTGAAAGGAAATGCTACATTACAGAACTATTCCGTCGGATTTTTTTATCATCATATAATCGTCGTAGATAGTTAATTTAACAGTTACAACCTCGATGGAATGGTTCCGTAAAGGAACCATAGAATCTTCCAATACTGAATGAGTAGTAGTAAAGAAAGTGAATAGGAAAATGAAGAGGAGTTTAGAGCACCCACAATGCTTTAGGTTCAATCGCAAAAAAATTAAATGTCACATAAGAAATACACTTAGTCTAAAAAAATATATTTTTCGATGCAAAGAAAAGTAGACTGGGTCCTACTGATGTGACAACCAGAAAAAGCGACTCGGTCTACCCTTAAGTCTATTTTAAACTCAAGTAGAGACCAAATCTTTTTACATTGAAATAGATTTTATCAATTTTATCCATGTCATCAAAGACGTGAGTTTATTTACATGTGAGTTAAGCGCGTCCGGGAGGATGAGGACGTCATCGTCTCCAAAAATCGTAGAAATTATAACAAAATAACGAAGGCCGCTCAATCAGATTTTCTTCTTCGTGAAGTAAACCTGAATTTTCATTTGCTTTTAGCTTCCGAACCCACAGTTTCAAAATTGTGTTCGGGAATCGGAACGGAGCAGAGCAGAGCAGATTTTCTCCTCCACAATACCTATTATCTCCAATAATTTCTTTTAAATAATTTCCCCAATTTTTTTCTGCAACATTTTGTGCCCTTTCTCGTTGTGGAGGTATGGGGCAACAGCAGTCGAAGGATGAGATGTTGTATCAGCAAGTGAGTTATGGAAATGTTGAAGGCATCAAAGCTCTCAGAAGAGAAGGTGCTGGTCTTGAGGTATGAATTTCTGCGTTTTGTGCAAAATTATAGTCAATGATTAAGGGTGTTTTGTGTGTGTGTGTGTGTGTGTGTGAAGATCTACGATCTGCGATTTTTTTTTTTTATTTTTTTGGCAATTTATCTGTATATTGAAAAAAAAAAATTCACTTTCCGTCAATGTTCGTCGCGGTGATGTGTATACATGGCAATTTATCTGTATTTTGTTCTCTATGTTCGGAACTTCTGAGCATCATATGAAACAATGTTCAACCTATTGTGTAATGTCCTGTTGGTATGGCTCATATTTTGACAAAGGAAGAGGGCAGGCTGATGCCTGCGAGGGGAGTGAACGTAGCGAGGGAAGCAGAGCGACCGAGCGAAGTGAGCAGGGTATTTAAGTAAATTTATACCTTGTAGGGTTTTAGTATAAATACATGGTGTATTGATGTATTTGATACGATTGAGAAAAATAAAATGATCCCTCAGCCGCCGTGGACGTAGGCACATTGCCGAACCACGTAAATCTTGTGTTGTTTACTTTTCTCGTTTTTTTTTTTTATTCGTGTGCCATATTGTCATCTTCTCTCAACATGTCCGTTTTGTTGTATGTTTCAAGTTATTTTGTTTTTTCTTTTCTATTTTTTTCCTCATAAATGGTGATTGTGGTTGGCAGTGGATTGATAGCGAAGGAAAGACCCCACTAATTGTAGCTTGCATGAATCCAGAACTGTATAATGTCGCAAACGCACTTATAGAATTGGGTGCCAATGTCAATGCTTATCGTCCAGGTAGATCACTGTGCTTATCGTTTCAGCTTAGAGATTATCCAGATTCTTATGCTTTTATATTGATAATATTGCTTCCGAGGAAGTTTTAAAATTATTGAGAACGATGAGTTTTAACTTATTATAAATCTGTAATGACCGAGAATCGTTATTTGAGTCCATTAGATATCATCTTTTCGCAGCATTATTACTTGATTTTCTGGTTCTCTGTTGTGTAATTCATTGTCATTATTTGATTTTCTTTCAAAGGTCGTCATGCGGGAACTCCTCTGCATCATGCTGCTAAAAGAGGGCTCGAGCAGACTGTAAAGCTACTCGTTTCACATGGAGGTGTGTTTCACACTGCCGTGGTTATTATGCGATTTTTCGCTGTTTTCATTTTAACAGATGTGTATTATTGATGGAAACATCAGCAAATGCCCTGGTGATGAATGATGATTGCCAGACACCTCTCGATGTCGCCAGAGCCAAAGGGTACACTAATGTTGTGCGGGCAATTGAGGTAATTCTCTGCTTGCTGATTAAAATGTTTTATTCCAATACCGTAAATGCAGTTGGGTTGACTTGTATAAACTTATCAGGGAAAGCTAACTTTATTTCCTTGCGATGCTTAGGCACATTTATGCTTATTCTCTGGTTGGCTGAGAGAATATTATGGGCCAGGCTTTCTGGAGCTTCTTGCTCCACAATTGCTTTCAAGGAAAGTGTGAGTAGAATGCTCTTATTATTATCACCATTTGAGTAGAAGTACATTTTTGGGAATTATTTTTTCTCTAAAAGATATGAACAACTGTGAATTTACGTAATGAGTTATGTTATTTGCTGCATGAAGCGTATTTTTTTTTTTGTTTTTTCAGTTACTCACCGAGCAGGGAAGCCTTCTGTTCTATTCTGAAATGAAACTATTAATATGATGATACTTTTTTATTTTATGACTTTGATCTCTTGTAACTGTGCATTTGTTTTTTTTTTTTCAATATATTTATGCACGTAGATGGGTGGTTATTGTTCCTTGTGGTTCTCTTAATCTTCGAAGACCTTTCAAATTGGAGCTTGCAATATATGCTGGTGCCCAGGTTCGTACATGGCTTTATTTCTGCTGGCATTATAATGTTATTTATGTATTTATATCAAGTATCAACCAAAATCGTGTTTATATAGTGTAGAATACTTAATCCTTTTTTTTAAAAAAAAAAAAAAATAATAATTAGGATGCACAGCCACGTACAATTGTTCCGCTGTGGAAGGCCAACCTAGAGGAACCGAATTTTAACCAGCCTGATCCAGCAGCTATTATATCAGATGTCTCCAGAAGTAAGTTTTCAGTTCTATTATCCATTATCTTCAAAATCTGCATAATGCTAGACAGGTAATCACCTTTGTATCTCTATGCATAGTCCGAAAACGCTGGAGAAGAAGGCGGGCCATTAAGTCCTCCCAAGAGGCGAGGCGTAAGTCATATTGAATTTTATTTTTGCTAACCTAAAAGGATCAACCTTCTGGATTCCTGCACACCTTTGATAATCATTTATCAAAATCATCAATACATGCTTGAGTTGGAGTGTGATGTCAAAGTTGTTCTGTCTCTGGTCTTCTGTGTTGAGATATTGAGAGGAACCTTTGTGAGAGTGTGAATTGTGACTAGGATTGTCAATTTATTTTTCTAGCTCCCGTGCCAATATATTTTTTTCTATTGGCAGATTAATGATACATTCTGATTTATTGTGTTGAACATGCGTGTTCTGAATTTTTGCTCGGTGTTGCAGATACACGGATAAAACTTGCAGCTGTATCTGAGAGTGAAAAACAGCAGTTGCAGTGGTTTTGTAATGCATGCAAAGGAATTCCGCAGGTAAAAATGATTATGCTCTTGCAGCAATACCTAGAGGTTTTGTTTTAATGGAACAAGATTGTTAGCTATTTCCAAATTTTGATACAGGTCACACGAATCCAGCATAGACTAACTGCAACACATCTTCAAAAATTACATAAAACCCTGCAATATTAAAAGATTTGCCCCTTTCTTCAGCAAAAACCACTTTTAATACCCCTCGGCAATTACACAAATACTGCAACAACAGGTCCTTAATTATTAAAATGAAACAAATATTGGACATTTCTTGTTATTTTTTTATTGTGTTTTTGTTTCATTAGTTTTTTGTGTTTAAGTCAAACCTCCAAGGATTAAATTTTCGTGATAATAATCTGGAAAGTAAACACTAATGATTTAGAAATTATAGAACCATAAGGTGAATCCTTTAAGAATCGGGATCCTTGACGAGAAAGCTGAAATATGTGCGCGTGCGTCCAAGTGTAATTGTTAAGTTAGGCTAGACATAGAAAGTAAACCAAATGCCTCAATGTAATCTTACTTCTAACTTCCAGCTTTCAAATTCCAATCAGAGTTACAAGCAGTCTGGTCATCCGTTATTTCTATTTGAAAACCAATAATCTGTTATAAACAGGCTGTTCATCCATTATTTCCAATTAACAACCAATTCTCAAGTGCACCTGCAACTGCTCCTCCGTCCTCGGAGGACGATGAACTTGCTATGGCCATCAATGCTTCCCTTCAGTCGGTCTCCCATGAAGTGCCGCCATCTGTGAGCCAGATTTCAGCCACCAACACAAACAATGCAAAGAGCTATACTGGCGAGCCCTCCACTCTAAGCCCGGAAAATGGAGGCAAGCTTGATGTTCTAGAAGCCGGCCCATCCCATATGGGCAGGCCAGAGAATCCCTCCCCTGTTTCCCTTCCGTCAGCTCCTGCTGTGAGCCCAGCCACGGATGATGGCCCAATTCAGTATCCCACGGTTGATATAACCACCGGTGGGGCCCACGAGAGGAGAGAAGATGGTAGTGGTTCATCGTGTACGATATGCCTGGACGCGCCTCTCGAGGGAGCCTGTGTTCCATGCGGACACTTGGCGGGTTGCATGTCTTGTTTGAGTGAGGTAAAGGCAAAAAATTGGGGCTGCCCAGTGTGTCGCGCGAAGATTGATCAGGTCATCAGGATTTATGCCGTTTAGTTAGTGGCCTGGTCACCGATGGAGAAATTGTCAGTTGGTGAGTTTGTATTTTGTTTTGTTTTGTTTTTGTTTGTTTGTTTGTTTTTTTTTTTTTTTTTTTTTTTTTTTTTCAATTGAAAAATCATTTTCCAATACACAGAGATTACTTGCATTTTTTGTTTTCTTAATAATTTGTAAAATCTAATGATTACATAATTCTCGGCAGAAGTTCATTTGCTGGACATGAAGTGTCGATTTTCTACACATCTGGAGACAAGAACTGAATGGGAATGTTACTTCGGAGAATAAACCTCCATGGCATTTTTATTTTGTCTTTGCATGTGGTATGGATATATAAATGATCGTCAATATACATTTGTGTAATTACGAACGTATAGTTTAAGAAATAACATCACATTTTCATAACTTTTCTTGTACAAAAAGTAGTCATCCGAACTATTAGTGAATCAATATGATTGCATCACCTCATCGAACTGAATGTCTCAAGCTCTTGAAGTTTCCATAAATGGACCCTTTCGGCTTATAGACCAGTTGGAACCCTTCTAGTTGCATGTTTTCCTCAAAACTTCCGAGTAGAATATACGCATTCGCTACTGCGTGTCTTTGGCACCACGTTAAGTGGTGCATGCTCGGCCGAGCCGGTGTCGCAACCACCTGACATCGTTGCGTGAGTCAAGTACTCTGGCTTGAGCCGCGTGCGCCATGTGCGAACACTCGGAACAAGTCGCAAGCTCGTCGCGGCAAGTACTCGAACGAAATTGTCGCATGCACGTGAGCCTAGCTTGTCGTCGTCGCCTGCTCATGTATCTGTTTGCCCTCGACATCGCCAGCACATGCCTTAGCATCACCCGCGCCTGGTAGCAAGCTGTCGGCGGGCACACCTGCTTGTGCGCGATGTTCCTTGCATCGTCGACCGCGGGTTCGCGGTTGGCTCCACCTCGTCGGGATATGCATGTTGTCGTCTTGATAGTCCGGGCTCGTTAGCGTCCAAAAGGGTTAATCGAACAACATAATAATACAATTAGATATTCGATCCTATGACACACGCAATAGTCGAACCTGAATGATCTAGCAAAACATTTAAACCATGCGGTGTCCCAGCACGCAAATAAATTATTACAATCATTCACCAACCAATCTTCGATATGTCAGTGGCTTATAAAATGACATATATGAATTAAAACACACAAAGTGACCACGATAGTCAGATTCATGAATACCCGCAAACAACACTTATTTGGATATTTTGCATAATTCTATAAGGTCATGATAAAGGAGATAATCTACTATATGCTACGCTCGTACCCAATTAATTTATATATGTCACACAAGTCCTAATTCGAATAGTGCACAAAGACAAATTTACCTCTGATACCTGTTGTTGGTATCTATGAGGAACGTCGTCCATGTAAACATTCGAATCAAACGAATTAAATCTTAACACAACTAAATCTATTGTTAGATTAGGACTTAATGTTTTAAAATTTTTTGGCGACTCTGAGACTTTTTTATTTTTGCTGTTGGTGATCGTCTGAACTTCAAATTCCGTTGAGTTGCCAGACTAGGCCTCATCATCACCAAACCTTGACCATCTTTCGCGTCACACGTCTCCGGTTGCTCGTCACTCCCATTGGACCGTCCCAGACCTCCGGCGGCCTGGTCGAACTACCCGAGACACGACGTCGGCTCGCGGGGACTCTTGGATCGCTGCTGAACTGGGTGCCGGGCGCGCGGTTGAACTGGATTGGACCACTATTGGCTGGAAAGGCTCGGATCTGGTGCGTTGGGACGTTGGGATTTGCGCGAGACGTTGGGACGACACGAGTTGCATGCAAAGCTCGCGGGTTGTGCAGAAGGCACGGGGTCGCACTACGGGAACCTGAGGGTCGCACAAAGATAGTGCGCGGGGGGCTGCGTGGGTTTGCTGCAGTGCTGCACGCGACTGGGCACGGCTGAGCGTGGCTAGGGCATGACTTACTTGGACGGGTTCAAAATGACGATCGTCGGTATTCAGTGGACATAATCTTCGATTTTCGTGAAGAATGGACAACCCCGCAAATTACGAAAACTTTGTGGAGCATGAATATATTGTACGAGATACAAATAAAACACAAAAGATCTTCTACTGTATTACCCAATCACTCTTCCGAACGATCTCGGTGGAGCAATCAAACGAAGCTCTCAGATCTCACAAACTCTCAAGATGTAGACAAAAGAGTCGATTGATTTCTCTTGTGTTTGGAGGCTTTAGACTTTGGTGTATTTGTAGGGCTACAGTAAACACTCTAAGAAGGTGTTAAATATGGACTCCCCAAGCATGAGCACAACTGGGGGCCAAGCTCACTCAACTAAATACTTGAATAATAAATCAATAACTAGAGAAATATTGTTAAACTCTCAATTTAACTCTGAATTATAATTAATTTATTTTCTTATTTATTGCTCAATTTGGATCCCTGTATTTAAGATTTAATGTCTGGTGATTAATTAAATTACTGACAATATAATTAATCAACTTCTCGAATCCGATACTAGTACCACTCAATTCTTTATTATTATGTCAGAAATTAATCCGCTGCCCGAACTTGACATAATAATCTTTCTTGAGTTCATTTCGGGGACGTCATCAGCCAGTCATTCCTGAGAGTCAGTGACCGTAAACAATATTGACGGCACATCATGTAGCCGATATTACTTATCAAATTATCGAGTATGTCGACCTACTGGAATAAGTCTTATCCATAATAAGTCAAATAAGTAAGTGCCAACTATATATGCTCGTACATTGTCTCACGGGTTAAGAATACACATCTAGGTTATTTACTTTGTCAGTATAAAATAATTTTATCCTCATGTGAGTCAGTATAAGATCTTCAGTCTCTCCTACCCTCTCTTTGGTCTCTGATCTTATTGCTGTGGAAGGGATATTTTACAAGGAGCAACTCGTGACGAACAACTTTTCTGCCCCAGAATGTGAAGCTATCTTGAAAATTAAATCACTTAGAAGAAACCTGCATGATAAAGTTATTCGGTGTTTTGATGCTAAAAATAATTTTAATGTGGCTTCAACTTATGCTCAGCTGATCTCTGACAATAGCTTAAAGCTAAATGTGCTTGAGGATAGTTCTAATACTCCCAACTTGAGGAAAATGGGAATAAAAAACTGGAAGATGAAAATTAATGGCAATGTAAAACATTTTATTTGGAAATTTTGTAATGGTGTTCTCCCTGTTGTTGTAAACTTGAACAAAATGGGTGTTAAATTGGATACTATCTGAATGGTGTGTGGTGAAACGATTGCAACTGCAGGACATATTTTATTCGAGTGTTCAAGGGCAAAAAGAGTTTAGAAGATGGCTCCAATGGATTGAGTTCAAGAGTGGATTGAGTTCGCTTCATGTTTTTCTTAGCTATCTGTTTGGTTGTTTTGGTCCTTCAAGCTATGTCTTTGACAACGGCTAGATTCTTGTTTCACTACAAAAAGACACTACAATTCCAATGAAAAATTCCAACGACAAAAATTTCCGTTGGAAATTCCAATGAATATTCCAACAAACTTAATTTTATGTTGGAATAAGTGTTGGATAGTTGAGGAATTCCAACGGATTTTTTCCGTTAGAATAG